GTCAGTTTTCAAAGCAACCTGGGCTTCAATTCCAGACTCATGGTAGATGTTGGAGATCATCTCCACACCACTTCTAGCAAATGCAGGGATGTTCACTCCCACATGAGTTATAAACTCAATTGCCATTGAGGGTTTAATGATCAGATCTGCTTGCATCTATGGGACAAAGACAAAATTATATACAGGCAGTCCCCGGGTTACGTACAAGATAGGGACTGTAGGTTTGTTCTTAAGTTGAATTTGTATGTAAGTCGGAACTGGTACATATTGTAGGGGAAACCATAGCCAAACATTTCTCCAGAGCTCAGTTTTATTCTCCCACACCTCACTTCCCTCAGTCCTTTATTCTCAAGCTGAGGCGTCTGCTGAGAAAAGCCGCTCTGCGTCTCCCTGGTCTGCTGGGGGAGGGGCGCTAGCTTCGCGTCTCCCTGGTCTGCTGGGGGGAAGCAGCTAGTGCGGGGTTGCCTCACCCCGTTTGTAAGTAGGGATCTGATGTAAGTCGGGTCCATGTAACCCGGGGACTGCCTGTATTCCATTCCCTAAAGAACCACTAGTTGCCTGATAATATCAGTGTAAGCATCCTATTCTTATTCATATTGCTGGACTAGATCTATTTAATTTATCCATTTAATTTTGTTATTCAATAAAATGTGATCCCTAAGACACGCTAAAAGAGCCTAAAGGAAAAAGGAAGTGATATTTGTGGGGCTCAAATATGGGTAAGGGGGGAAGACATCTCCAAAACAGTGACCTTGGTTCGTAGTTGAAGCTGTTCCCAATGTAGAAATACTTTGAATAAAAAATGGCTGTTTGGAGAGCTTCATGAATTTTAAATCCAGTAAGAAGAGACTTTTCCACAGTAAAAGGATTATATTAAACCACAGTGAGTAAAATATTTGACAAATAGGAATGTGCCCAAAGATCTATCTAAACTTTCTCAATGTACAAGAGTGCTCAGGCTCAAGGTTTTCATTTGGTTGATTTCCAAAATATAGACCAGATGCAAAATGTTTCATATGCCCAAAATATTGGCTTTGGCAACCTGGTAATATCTCTGCTTTATTTCCAAAGGAGCTGGTATATTTGTTAAGCAAATATAATATCACGACAGAAATTAAGACTCACGTTCTTTTGTTGAATCTTCACCCCAGCCTTGGCTCCAGGAGTTGCAATTCCAGACAAAGCAAATTGGAGCTGCAATCCTGCTCCAGTTGGGAGCTCAAATTCATTGTCCATAAAAATGTAATGAACAAAAAAGTCACCTTCTGTTCCTTTTGAGATGGCCTGCACAATCTGTGAATCAAACAAGGAAACATTAAATAGTGAAGTACTTTGATGTAGGCTTTGTAACATTAAAATGAATCATAGGATGAGGTATAAAGGACATTTAAAAATATACTGTAATCATAATCACATCATCTAAGACTATAATTCTTATATAGTACAGGGACCAAAATTACACAATATTACTTTACATGATGCACATACATTCTTAAAGAATGTTTATCAAAATCTGGCTTTTAAGAAAAGTACAATGTCTTCACCTAAATCTGAGGAAACAATATTGACCACCTATTACATGATATTGGAATCATAGAATCATATAATACTAGAACTTGAAGGGACCTTGAGAGGTCATCAAGTCTAATACTCTGCAGTCACGACAGGGCCTCGCACCCTCTAGATAATCCCTGAGAGATGTCTATCTAACCTGCTCTTAAATATCTCTAGGGTTGGAGATTCCACAACCTCCCTAGGCAATTTATTCCAGTGTTTAACCACCCTGACAGGAAGTTTTTCCTAATGTCCAACCCAAACCTCCCTTGCTGCAGTTTAAGCCCATTGCTTCTTGTCCTATCATCAGAGGTCAAAGAGAACAATTTGTTTTCCTTCCTCTTTGTAACACTGTTCTTGATACTTGATAATTGCAATCATGTCCCCTCTCAGTCTCCTCTTTTCCAAACTAATAAACCAAGTTCTTTCAATCTTCCCTCATCGGTCATGCTTCCTAAACCTTTAATCATTTTTGTTGTTCTTCTCTAGACCTTCTCCAATTTTTCCACATCTTTTCTTAAATGTGGTGGTCTTAAATGTGACATAATATTCCAGTTGATGCCTAATCAGCACAGAGCAGAGTGGAAGAATTACTTCTTTTACCTTTCCTACAACACTCCTGTTAATGCATCCCAGAATCATGTTTGCTTTTTTGATAAGTGAAAGGTGTGATATAATTAAGCAGGGAGATCATAATAGATAGAAGGGTAAAATCATCCCTGAAGTCAATATTAAAACTTCCACTGATGTCAGTGAAGTCAGGATTTTACCCAATATTTCTAAAGAGAAATACATTTTCTTTACTTTTAATATAAAACATTTAAAATATTTCTGTACATTCTATCTCCATAATTAATATCTTAGCATTGTAACACAGTGGCAAATATTAAAATTTTAGGGATTAATCCCATGTTGGTCTCAAATCTGCAATGAGATCCTTTGGAGTTAATGGGCTCCATGTAGGTGCAACCTACAAACCCCCACAAGATTCTCTGCAGTTCTGCATTGATCTCATTGCTGGATTAGGTCCAAAGCATGTGAAATCAAATGGAATAGCAATATAAAGATAATCATGACATCGAAGGCGATTAGGTCCAAAGCATGTGAAATCAAATGGACTAGCGATATAAAGATAATCATGACATTGAAGGTATTATTATAAATCTCCAAAATCAAGATGACTTTAAATTACCCATGCATATCTCAAGACTTTCACATTCTTCTCTTATCAAAATGTACAATTATCTTAGGCTTATAGTCTCAAAGGTATTTAGGTGCCTAACTCCCATTAGATTGATTTAGTTAGGCACCTAAATAATTTTAGAGCCTTAGTTCTTTTTTTGTTTAATGGTTAACATTTTAAGTAGTTTTCTTGTTAAGCCACTAGTACTCCATTTGAATATCTGGTTTATTTAGAAGATAAATATATAAACATTTGACAGAAAATAGTGTGAAGTGTGTTCATTCTGCACTTCAGAAACATACCTTTTCTGGAATGGCCTGCAGAGTTTTGATGCTCTTTAAAATCACATTGCCCAGTAGATTTAAATCGTTGAGTTTCATGTACCCAAGTTCTTCTCCTAGAATTCTGAGGTAGGCCCTACCTTCAGGAATTTCTTTATTTCCCATTTCTTTTATCAGTTTTTGAAAGTTCAGCATTATTGCTTTCATCACATCCTGAGAATTCAGTCAAAAAGTGACACACAATGAGATGCCCTTGTAACAAGTCTGAGAATCAGTCACCTAATACAGTTACATAATGGTCTGCACACAAAAACCTTACTGAAGATAGAACTCAGGAACTTAGGTTCCTGAAACAAAGGATTCTGTGAAATGCAATAAAGTAAAATCACCTTAAGCTAGATGTATCTAGGTATTTTATCTTCTGTAAGTTAACAAGAAGGCCTTGTTCGAGTTATACAATACATTATGCATGCTGGAAAGTACTGCACACAAATGCACGTGTGCACTAAATATTAATAAAACACTGTCCAGGGAAGAACCTGAAAGCATACCTGATCCTGTTTGTCATCCTTGGAATAACCAAAATAGTCAAAAAGCACCTTGGAAACATGCTCTGGAACTTTGCCATCAACCCAAAATAAAGCTTTACTGGCACTGTCAGGAAAGAATCCTTTTTCCCCAAACAATGCTTCTAGTGTTGGCTCGAAACTCTTTCCATCCATGCCGATCTGAAACACAATAAAACAATGTCATGACTGAAAGAGATTCGCTGCTTCTAGGGAGCATTACAGCAAAGATACTGGTGAACAAATGGTACATTTCAAAATGAATACTGCAAATATAGAGAGCTGTAGAGAGAGTACATTCTTGCAGCCAGAGACCAGAAAATGTGATCTTTTTGGGGGTGAAATTAACCCCTTGCAGCTCTCATCAGTACAAAAATCTACAAATTATTTATATACTTTCTAAAATGTAATGAGTGTTAAAGTGTGACATTAATGATGCGATGCGTGTGCTTCAAGTGGGTTTGTTACATAGGGGTGATTTTTACATTAAATGAGATCCTGAATGAATCAACCAAAACCTGAAATGCTCCCAGACTCATTGGTAATGGGTGCCAAGAAAGGAGCAATCTGATTCAAAGCCCACTGGAGTCAATGGAAAAGCTCCTTTTGACCTCAATGGGGTTTAGATCAATACTTGTAAAATAACATATTTATTCACTGCAAGTCAATATAAGGGAACAGAAATAACAGATGTAAACCTTGAATAATAGTGTAAGGATTTGATATCTGTTATACCTCAAAGATATCCATTGGGCTAAGTCCGTACAACTGCAGAGTAGTTTTTAGCATGGTTTCTTTAGGAATGTAGGTTTTTGGATCAAATATCAGATTTCCTTCTACTTTGGCTGAGACAGGATCACTCCCAGGCAGGGAAACACGTTTGGAAATCTGATAATTTTGTGAAAACTTTCTGAAGTCCTTAGGTGCTGGAATCTGAGATCCTTTAAGAGCTTCTTGTAATTTGCCTTTAAGACTAAGGAAAAGGAAATTAATTATAATATAGTTAGTTAACATTTCAGAAATCATTTAGTCTTTGAACAACAGAGATTTCTTGTGCCACGTGTCTTGATTCTACTAAGTGATGATGTGCTCTTGTTCATGTAGAAAAAAGCAATGCTAGGAGCCAGAACGAGGAGGATGTAAGCTGGGATAGCTGTATTGAAACCTCTGATTTACACCGGCTGACAATCTGGCCCTCTGACTTTAAATTGTTTTAATGAGGCAATTTCAGTTCACCCTTAGACTTTAGCATTTGGTGGGATCATCTGAATTCCAGTGATAGTTAGAATTTTGTTCCTATGACAACAATGTCAATATAATTATACTTACTCTTCGATGCCTATTTCTTCAGAGTCCAAGATGTTGGCAATGTGAGAGGCAACAAAGCTTTTCACTTGTTCATTTTTGTCCTTTACAAGCGCTCTAGTGATCTTGCTAAGATCGGACGGGGAAGGACCCTTCATCAGCATGAGATAGGCTGCCAGACGTTTGTCAACTGGAGAATCTGCACTTTGGAAAGCTTTAAGAAGCACAGCACGGTCCTGTACCAACAGCAAAAAGTACATCAGTGCACTAATAATCTGACTAGCAGATGGTATTGTCAGTCTCTGATTGCAACACTTTGGGTCAAATTGTTCCCTTAACCACATCAGTGTAACCTTGTTGAGTTGATAGAGCAGTGAAGCCCCTTATTTCTAGGACTGGTAAAAACACTCTTTACACTTTCGTATGGAAATTTTCATGAACAAAATCTACTTTTGTCAAAACTTAAATTCATTTTGGTGTCCGGCAACTGAAAAGGAAAACTTGCTTTTGGGCTGCTGAAAGCCAAAATATGTTTAGTTTTTATTTTGTCAACAAAAGGCCAAACACTTCTGAAGAAAAATTTAGATGAATAATGAAAATAGTTTTTGCTTGACATTTTTCTTAGGCAAAAGGAAATAATTTCTCAACCAGCTTTACTTTTTTCCTATGTTTTAATCCATTGAAGACACTATTAAAAAGCAATGGATGGAGCCAATTCTCTTCTCACATAATGCAACCTATGTAAAGCAGGCTCAACACCCAGAAGCTATATTAATTCACCCAAGCAAAAACACTGGCCCTTTGCGTGCATTATACCAGCAGAAAGCTTCTATGAGAGGAGTATCAGACTCAATAAAATGAAGGAAGGGATATTAAAGAAATGCAGGGAAACAGATAATGGGGAAATAGCAAAAAATGCGCATGGATGGAGAAAGTCTGGCTTGTTTAGTTATTAACTCAAAACATACATCTGAAAGGGGCTAAAACAATCCAAATGATTTAAAGACTGATTTACCTCATCAGTGATAGTCATTCTTCTCAATGCCTGGATGGCTGCTTTCTGAACGGAAGGTGATGCAACTTCACTCTTGATACACGTCTTCAGAGCAGATTTCAGGTTCGGATTAGCAACCTCCATTGCTTTGCCCATGTTTCCAATAGCCTGTGAATTTTGCAAACAAGGTCATGCACATATTTTCCCAATCAACAAGAATGGTAGCCTGCATGCTGTGGTTTTAAAATAATAGTTTATATGAAGAGAAAGGCAAGTTACAATACCCTAAGTGTGAGGTAGGTTAATTCATCATTCCCAGAGCATTCACTGCCAATCATTGACTCCATAAAGTTTGCAACATCTGTTATTTCCTGTGTCACAGTTTTCTTGTCTTCATAGAAGCTAAACAAAGACAGAAATGAACCAGAAGTCATCATAAACACTTTGCTTAGGTGTGTGTAGAGAATCCTTTCCTAAGTCAATTTGCACATCATAACCTCAGTGATTAAATCTCCAAATAATGACTGCTTTCAGAGTTTCTCCTCACTTTTTTTATGTATAAGCAAATGCATATATACTCACTTGGTAACAGCATGGCTTAAAGCATAGAATGTAGCTCGACTTTTCTGATACTGGGCCATGTTAAGAATTTCCCGTATTCGTTTGGTACATGGAAAAGGCAGGAGTCCAAGGCTGTATGTGACTGCATCAGCCACAAGAGGGTCGATATTTCCAGTTCTTATTATCTGAAGTATAGCACCGAAGCAATCTGGAGTACCACACTGAATCAAACCCTGCATTGTGAAAAAGAGATTATTTTCATTAGTCCAATGGTCTATGTTGCATATTGGAAAGAAACATTCAGGAAGTGTGTTTAAACTATATTCTAATGAAGATAGATTTTTTTGATAATTAAGAAATGTTTTTAGATCTCTTTGAGGTCATGACATACAGATTTTAGATTCAAATCAGAACTTCATGAAATATGGAATGGCTCAGACTCAGAGTTTGCCCCAAAGTCAAGAAGATTTGGAACTGGGCTTTTGGTTCAGGCATATCCTTCTTCATCCCTATGTGTATCATCAACATCTTTTATATTCTATAAAATCATGACTGGTGTGGAACAAAGTGAATAAGGAAAAGTTATTTACTTGTTCTCATAACATAAGAACTAGGAGTCACCAAATGAAATTAATAGGAAGCATGTTTAAAACAAACAAAAGGAAGTTTTTCTTCTTTCAGAGCACAGTCAACCTATGGAACTCCTTGCCAGAAGAAATTATGAAGACCAGTACTTTAACAGGGTACAAACAAGAACCAGATACATTCATGGAGGTTAGCCAGGATGGGTAGGAATGGTGTCCCTAGCCTCTGTTTGTCAGAGGCTAGAAATGGATGACAGGAGAGGGATCACTTGATGATTACCTGTTCTTTTTATTTCCTCTGGGGCATCTGGCATTGGCCACTGTTGGAAGACAGGATACTGGGCTAGATGGACCTTAGGTGTGATCCAGTATGGTTGTTCTTATGTTCTGCATCTGTATCTAGATTTGTATGCGTTCTAGTGTGAGTGATATATACAGATATCTGTGTGTGTCTCTAAGCATATCACAAAAATGGCCATTGAATTATATAAATATCATAAACCTTTTGTGGCCCATAGCTGGTTATTATATTGCTGTTATATTTATTCATTATTTTTATTCTTGTAGCACCTAGAAACACAATAATGAGCCAGGAACCCATTGTGGTAGGCACAATACATACACAGAACAGCCAAGTTACATCTTTCTCTCCCTAACCATCCTCTTCACATGCAAAAATAGGTTACAACCCTCAGGATAATTTAATGAGTTAAACTGAGTCTGCTTTTTTCCTGCAAATGTGTAAATGGAATAAAATGCTGCCAGGAAGGAAATGGCAGAGCACAACTCCTGGACCACAAAATTTGATTTCCACAAATGGGAAGTAGCAGTAGCATCTGATATCACATCGGTTCCCTGAATAGCCCCACTCCAGCTCTAATCTGGATTTATCACATAGTAGTAACCTCTGCATGAGAAGTGACAGGGTGGCAGGAGAGAGGAGAGGCTGGCATCTCTGGTAAGGAATTATTATGCTGGTGTGCAGTATGTATTACATGATTAATGAGAGACTATTGATAGAAGTTCTGGATTGGATTCCATACAATACTGGACAGTGTGATTTACATTTAGGAGTCTACTTTCCCAATATTATACAAGGATTTATATATATCAAAATAGCAGTTAATGAGCAAATGAAAAATATGACGACCTTGTGGAAGGTCAGAATAAACCCATTGAAGTAAATTATTATCATGCTAGACTTCTCTGTACGTGGCATAACATTTAAATAGCTTTCTGTCTCTCACTCAAATACACAAATTCTCAGGGTACATATAGACTACATGCTTCTTTCAAAAAAGCTTTTTTCGAAAGAGATTATCTAGACAGCCACACCTTTTTCAAAAAAGTGATCCGCTTTTTCAAGAGAGAGGCAATCTGTATGCTCTTTCGAAAAAGTCCTGTTTGCAGTCAAGAACACCTTTTTTCGAAGCAGCTGTTTCGAAAAAAGGCATTCTTCCTCAAAAGAGGAGGCTTACCACTGTCTATGTATAATTACACCAAATGATCTGGTTGTCTAGACCAGCGTTTCTCAACCTTTTTTTGCTCATGGCCCCCTTCGGAGCCTCATTCATCATACGCCTGGCAGTTAAGTTTGGGTGGCCCCCTCAGAAACTTACTGTGGCCCCCTAATGTTCTGTTTTTTTCCATGTGGCCCCCTAGAAGTAAGGCGTGGCCCCTGGGGAGCCATATGGCCCACGTTGAGAACCACTGGTCTAGACATAGTCTTAGTGGCCTTTCCCAAGGTCCAACTATTACAGCATTTAAGATATTACTTTAGGTTATGATGAATGTCGCTTGAAGGAGAACATCACCTCTGGAATTAAATTTGATTCCACGTTGCCAGGCATTGTTTGCACAATGCAAGAACTAAATTTTTTTTATCCATTACCTTGAGGCTTCCATCATCTTCTGTACGAGAGACCCCAGAGTGTCATTGTGTAAGCCTCTAAGTCCCGTTACAAATTTGTAAAAAAGGCTTGCTCTCTGCTGGTTCTGCTGGGAGGCTGACAGCTTCTGCAGTTCCTGAAGGACCTTCAGCACAGCATCCCCATGCCGGAGGGATTTGGTGTCAGCACCTTCCAAGGAAAGTCCTCTCCTTTCCAGTTTATCTAACAAACATGAAAAGCATTATTTCTTTCTGTAAGGACTGGGATATACAGACTCCCCCGGCAGGGGTTATGGAGCTGCTCTGAGCTTTGCTAGCCTTGCCCTGCCCTGCTTGTAAGACTTGTACAGACTGGAGGAGGAATTAAAGGGAGAACAGCTCACTGGTGGCAGACTAAGGTAGAGAATGGGCCTGTAGCTCCTGAATAAAGGGCTGAGGGAAAGTAGGACTTCTCCATACAACTACTTCTGGAAGAAAGGGAAGAGAAGGGGGGGCCTGTTTCAGATGCACCCTGAGACGAAGGCTTTTCCTTCTCTGTCTCATATGAACCCAGTTTGTTTGCATTGATTCCCCTTGTGCTATCTATAGACTCTCGACAGAGCAGAGTCTGGGCACTGATATTTAGGGGGGGAAAGTCACAGGAGGAGGCAGATGCTGCCCTATGAGAGACAGGGAACACTGCTGTGTGAAGCACGACCTTGAGGAAGTGCCCAGTGCTGAGGGCACCTTCTTGTCAGAGACTGCAATTTTGAACCATAGTGGGGTGGTAGGAAGTTTCCCAGGGAGGGCAGCTGTAAGGACCTTTGATAGCACTCACAGGGCCCTGAGCTGGAGCCTGGTGGAGTGGGAGGACCTGGGCTACCCTACTTGCTTGCTCTCACATGCCTAAGAGCCTGAACCTCAATAACTAGCCATCACAGAGACATTTTAGTTTCTGACTCCTTGAAGCATCCTTCCTGTTTAAATAACAGAATCTGTATGAACTTTTTAGTCCCTGAGGTGGCTGAATAGTGCATTTGATTCCCCAAATCGAGATATAAATCACATTTAGATAAATAAACATTTCTTTTCTGAAGGTGATATGTTGCTTTTATATCGTAGGTGGTTTTGAATTTAGCAAAGCTAATCCTACCTTCATCAAAGTTTCTGTTGTTGATTTTGGGGGTTTCATCAAGTTTCAGAGTCTGCGTGACTTGTGCCATCATACCGTACTGATTTCTAATAAACAACATAAAAATGCAGTCCTTTAGTTAAGCCTGTGTTCGTTGTGCTTTAGTTGTGTTGAATTCTGCCCTGGCATTGCATGTGCAGTAAGCCAGGGCAGAATCTGACCCATTACCAATCATTATGACTATTTACAAAGAAAGGGAAATGATATATGGCATGACACCTACTTGTGGGAGGCAGGCAGAAACAGGTGTTTTTCTCGGCAGTCTACTTCAGCCACATGCCTTTTCTTTGCATCAATAGTGTACTGACAGGACTGGCTGCTGCTGAGCAGGTTGGCTAATGGGCTGTTCTGCAAAACATCGTGTGAGGAACATGTAGCATATTATATATTAGTGAAAAAAGCGCATTTCTGATGGCTATTGTTCCTGGGCTGCAACATTAATAGTAACAGCATATTGGGAGTGCCAATACTGGTCCATAGCCTGCAGTCCCTTCGTATCCAACACTCCTGTGGATATCTTGTCCCAAGTGTCAATGACATTGATATAGTCTTTGCCTGAGTATGTACCATAGGACTGAGCCCTTACAGCCTACAAGAAAGGACATGCCCTTATCAAGTGCTTAATTTGTAATGCAAGAGGTTGCTGGGGCTCAAACAATTAGGTGCTAGGGCTCAAGAGGTGCCAGGACTCTGAAGTGCCAAGGCTAAAAGTGCCAGGGCTCAGTTCTGTTAAGTCCCGGCACAAATTAAGCACTGATTCTTACCATTATGAATTAATTTGCAATGATTAGAATAAATTAAACACTTTAAAACAGTGAATTTACTTTACGGTCCTTATAAGGGCTCCATAGTTACAAATGGTTTTACGATTTTCAACAGCAAACATTAAAAAGAAAAATCACAGGAACAGTCGGTACATGAACAAATCTTCCAAGGTGTGTGTGTCTGTATGTGTGTTTGCACCTGGCCTCGTTGCATACACAAATATCCTGAAATGCCTTTGAAGATGGAGCTTGCCAAAGCAATTGCCTTGGTCCGTGATGAAACCTAAACATATATGTGCAAATCAAGGCTACTTGCACATGTATGCTGGTTATATGCAATATGCATGTGCATGTTGAAAGGTTTGGCTAATAAAGATTAATGGGATTTCTATAAAACCTTGGGCCTGATCTTATAAGGTGCTGTACACCTGACAGTATTAAGCTTGTGGAAAAGTGATACAGATAATGAGAACAATGTGAAAGAAGTTGTGATTATATTCATTTCCCAAATTTCATATTTTCCATTAATTACCACTAAGGGCAGGAAGCAAAAGCAGATGGTCAGATATTGAAGAATTAAAATAAATATAATGAAGTCCTTTCTGACATAACATTATTCTCTGATGTACTTACCAGTCCCTTTATGAGGGCAATTGGGCTGACATATTCTCTGATGGGATTGAAGTTTTCGCAGGTTTTCAGGTTTCTATTAATTGAAATAACTGATGCTATGTTCCCTTTCCTATCCTTGATTTCAACTTCACTGTCGCATTTTCCATATATAGTATCCTGGAAAGCAGGAAATATAACATAATTATTCATGTTACCAAAAGAGTTCAAGTCTAGTCTGACATGCCATTTTTCTGAGAGAGAACTTCAGGACAGAGCCCACTTAGTGGGTTTGGCTGCTTTTCTTAAAGAAGCAAATGCACTAATGCTCAATTTCTCACCATGGAGATTGTTTTTACATTGTCTTCTGTTTCTGTTGGCACAATAAGCGCTGAGATGATCCCTCTCTTGATGTTAAGAATATTCATTGGTTCATCCTTCTCTGAATACAGCTGGATCTTCTTCTCATCCTGAGTGCTGAATTTTAGCTCGTACCTGCCTCCCAAAAAGACAGTAGGTGTGAGACAAAGATAGAAACAAGCCAGCCAACAGCTTGCCATCTTGATTTATTGCCATGCATTCCATGGGTATCTAGATATAGAATTATGTATTAATATTCATTTGTATTAATGTGGATCCCCAAAACGTTAAACAAGTTTGGACTCCATTGGGCTAAGGATTCTATGAACACACATGTTCCAAATAGTTGAAAATTGCATTTAAAATATTCCCTAATAAACCAATTTCTGTATCTTTCCCTTCCCCTTTTCATGAGAAATAGTGGCCTTGGATTCACTGCATATAATGTAATATTGCTTCTTTATTTATTCTTTCTTATTTTGCTTGATACAAGAATCCATGGGTGCAATTCTATGGCCTAAGATGTGCTGGATAGGGTAATAACATTAGGGAATTATTTAGAAAGGGGGTTTCACAGATTTCTCATGTTCAGAGGAATTTTCTTCTGGTAAAAAGCTGTCAAAGTGTACTATGCTAACTTGTACACCAGACACTCCCTCACACTCCTGATATAAGGAAGAGAAGGAAGCATACTGCGGACATTTGATTGTTAGATGTGGATGGGACAGGGATTTTTGCTGCACCCAACCTTTCAGTGAAATAATTCAAGGCTGTCCCTGTGCAGCCCTGAGTTGTGCCACAAGCAGATGGCTCAGAATCAGGGAGCCTATCTGAAAACATACATAGCACATCTTTGCTCCTTCTCTCACTGTCACTGCTGCAGAACCATGTTGTTCATATTTTTAAAGATACAGAAAGCACAAGCTCTCTTCAGCCTCCTGCTTTCTCAGCATCCCCAACTCATTCCCAAGTCTGGGATGCCACTGCCATACACAGTCCCTTGTAAAGGACTGGGCAGGTTGTGAAGTCATAGTCTCTCCCAAATTAAATAAGGGTGAATTTGTTAGCAAAGATAATAGTAACTGTTTGCTCACTGGGCCATGGCTCTGGCAAAGTCATCCGAGTTCTTTGACTTTTTCAGGAGAGTCTTTCCCTCGGCATCCACACCAAACATCTCTCGCAGGGTACACTGGCTTGCCTTCAGGGTGAAGCTACACATCTGTGGGACCTCCAGCTCAATCTGAAAACATACATAGCACAAGTTTGCTTCCTTTCTCGCTGTCACTGCTGCAGAACTGTGTGGTTCATATTTTTAAAGATACGGGAGATTGTCTAAAGTTTATTTTTAAAGTGCACCATGCAGTTCTATAGCAGTTTCTGTGTGAAGATCAAAGAGGGGTTAAAATAGACCTACAATACCCAGGTGGAGTAAAAGTTATTTAAATTGGCAGAGCCCCTAGCATGTAGGGGGTCCCTGGTCTTTGACTAGGGCCCCTAAAAGATATGGAAATACACCTAATTAATAATATATCCCGTATATTAATAATGGGTAAACTGAGAGAAAGACTTTTGCATGGACACATAGTAAGTCAATAGCAAAACATTTAGGTCCACTGCTCCACCCATTTTACTAAACATGATACGATCCAGTTCTTATTTGGGGTTGTCAGAGAATTTTCTGTTTAAAATATTTTTCAAGCAAATATTGTGGTTTTCAATAGAATGATGGTTGTTGTTGTTGTTGTTGAAAAAAGTATCTGCTTTCCCATAAGGGCCTGTCAGAACATTCTGGAATAAAAATATTTTGTATTTTGGCTTAGATTCTCAAATCTTTTAAAAAGACTATCTTATGAAATATATACAATGGACCAAATCCTCCTCACTCTATTCCAGTCCTACTGCTATCAGCAGAACTATCTAGGAAAGGAAGGTGAATATGGCATGATCCAATGTTATTATAAAGTCCAGAAATTATTATTAACCAAATAATATTTATAGCTACAGCTCGTAAAATTGGGATTTTTTTGGCAAAAAACTTTTTTGTCAAAATATTGAAACTTAAAATATTATGACATGAATATCTGTAGATATTCTTACAGTAATGATGGTGACGTGATTTCACTTCCATCAATTTTAATGGGAGCAGAATCAAGCCTTTATAAGTTTTCTTTCATATGGAATGTGTGTCAAAATTGAGTACACTTCAAGCAGAGCAAACATGAAGATGTCTAATGAGCAACATTGACAATTTGTGCCACACCATACTGCATACTAGATGCAAACCAGCCTTCTGCAATTGTGGGTCTTGACCCTGTCTTCAGAATTTGTAAAGAAATTTTTGCATTACATAGACAAGTATTGAGTTGCTTGGCAGAACACTGTAATACTTACTAAAAGCTATTTGCCCAGTTACAGAGTTAATGAAGTAATCCTGCGAAATGTGACTTTTTGAGGAAGTTGGAAGGAGAATGGGATAGGTTATCAGACCAGTAATGATCAATGGAGTCTTTCACTCCTAGGGGATACCAGAGCCTGACCCAAGATGATAATTGGGAGCTGTCACCACCCGATATGTATGTAGTCCTGCATCAAATCAACTGATCAATTAGGAGTCTCAGTCTAGTGAATAAATGTAGAAAACATTGGATGCTTCTACAGGCAGACTCGGAGGATAAGTCAAATACCGAATGAGACTTGACTGAGTTACCAACTCTGCCACCTCTTCTCTAGAAGTAGAAAAGCCTGGCAGCATTGGCAGAGTAGAGTGAAGAAACTCTGCCAGTCTTGCCACGGCCTCATCTGTCAGAAAATAAAGGGCTTCAGACTGCAAGGCTTTCAAATGCCTTTCCACAAGCACTGCATTCACCACATAAATTATTGAAAATTGAAGGGGAATGGAGATGGAGGACATGGGAGATAAGGGGGAAGGGTAATCCCCAATTCACCACATAAATTATTGAAAATTGAAGAGGAATGGAGATGGAGGACATGGAAGATAAGAGGGAAGGGTAATCCCCTTGTTGGCCATTATCCTTTTTCTGATTGTAGCTGGTTATTTATTCCTCTTCCCTTACCTTGCAGGTAATTTTAGAGCCACTTCGTGAATCTGCTGTTCCTTTCACTCCACTTGCTATTTCTGCTTCATAGTTGTAAACATATTTTCTGAAAGGTTTAAATCTGGCTGCATCTTCTGCAATTAGAAAAATATGAATATGAATAACACAGACACATGCATATTTAGATCATCATAATACAGACCCAAATACCATTGTGCTAATTGGAAATAATACCAGAAATTTGAGAAATATTAGCACAGGGCTACTCAACATGCAGCCCGTGGGCTGCATGTGACTTGCGGTTCAGTTTGGGTTTACGCGGGGCTCAACATGTGGCCACAATGGCGAGGCATCTCTCAGAGGTGAGCATTGAAAGACTCGGGCAGACAGGCTGGCTAGAACAGACGGGTACAGGATGTCAGCATTTCTAGCCTCCAGGGAGGAGGTGCCGGGAGCGCTGGGGCATTGAGTGAAGTGCTTTGCATTCATGCCCGTCATTGTGAAAAGCTGTTTGCTCATATATTTGCATGTATATGCAACCACACTTAGGTTGCGGCCCTCAGCATATGCTGTATCATTGTGGCCCCTGAGGCTTCCAAAGTTGAGTATCCCTGTATTATCATATCCCCACAGCTGATTTCTTCTTTGGTTTTGTACATAAGGTGTTTTTGTTTTAAGATAAATCTGTAAAAGGGTTGTGGTGAGTTGTCATTGCTTGAAGACTTTAAGTCAAGATATAATGTTTTTCAAAAATTTGTGATATAGCTCCTAAAAGTTATGGCCTTGCTACAGAAATTATTGGCTCCTTTGACTTGTGTTATGCAATATCAGCTTAGATGCTCATAATGATCCCTTCTGGCTTTATAGTCTATGCAGCTCTGATTTTCTCCATTTAAAAATCAATGATAAGCATAGTTAGGAACATAGGCCTCACTGGAAGAAAATCTAAGGGACAAATGAAGTCATGCAAAAGAAAGATAACAAGAAAAAGGCTCAGGATCTCTTCAATGATTTGAAGATTAAAAATTCTACAAAAAGTGGAAACATGGAAGAATTGCTAAGGAGGAGTAAAAAGAATAGCACACTCAAGTAGCGACAAAATCAGAAAGACTAAGGCACAGAATGAGTTACATCTAGCATGGAACATAAAAAGCAATATGCTGGCAATAACCTATTTCTCTTTAGTTTTCACTAAAATAGTTAATGGTGGTGAAATACTCAACAATATTAACATTAACAAGAAGAAGGAGGGAGAGGAATGCAAGCCAAATATTTAAAAAGCAAGGGGGAAGGAATGCAAGCCAAAATAGGGAAAGAACAGATTAAGGAATATTTAGATAAATTAGATGTATCCAAATCAACTTTGCTTGAGGAAAACTTGGAACTGTTAGTGATTACATTTGAGAACTCCTGGAGGATAGACGAGGTCCCAGAGGAATGGAGAAGGGCAAACTTAGTACATAACCTCAAAAAGATGAGAAAAAAGGACATGGGAAATTATAGACCAGTCAGCCCAACTTAACACCTGGAAAGATACTCAAACAAAAATGTTTATATTGAAAAATATAATTGTAAGCACCCTGAGAATATTAGGGCTTATAGGGAATAGCTAGCATGAATTTGTCAAGAATAAATCATACCAAACGAGCCTAGTTTCCTTTTTTGGCAGGATAACTGGCTTACAGCAGAGGGTGGGAGCATTAGATGTGATATATCTTGATTTTATTAAGGCTTTTGATATAGTCCCAGATAACATTCTCAAAGCAAATGTGGAAATGTGGTCTAGATGAAATTACTATACGGTTGGTGCAAAACTAGTTGAAAATACCATATTCAGTGGTTCATTGTCAAACTGGGAAGTTGTATTTAGTGTATCTCAGAGGAGTGGGTTGTGGGTATGGCGCTATTCAATATTTTGAGACTTGGCATAATTGAATTTTTTTATCATTATGATAGATAATATAACTGTTCATTTAAATAAATCTTTATTTAAATTTGCACATTTGTGCAGCATTATATATTTTAGATCTTTTATAACATTTATTTATGTTTTCACAGTGGCAGGAAATTAAGGGGTCACGGTCAAACAATAATTATTTAAGGACATTACATACTGAAATTCAAAAAGTAAAAGCTTTATAACCATTAAAACACAAATTGTCAATACCACATGTCAAAATATACAAAATTAATATTCTTTTAAATTCTAGTAAGTTCTCAAGCAGCACTTTTCTTACTTTGCCTATTGGTAAATATATAATATTATGGATGGGAATATTTGTTCATTGGTTTCTGTTTCTATGGTCAAATTGATATTTACCCACATTTGCCAATAAAAATATAATCCTTTCAAACTTAAATACTTTCATGCATGACCTAGATAATGGAGTTAAGATTATGCTTTTAAAATGTGCCTATGATACCTCCATTGGAGGGCCTGTAACACTTTGGAAGACAGGATTAGAATTCAAAATTATTTTGGCATGTTAGAAAATTGATCTGATGTCAGTAAGATGAAGTTCAATAAAGACAAAATGCAAATTGCTATATAATGCATAGCTACATAATGCAAATTGCGGAATAATTGGGCTAGCCAGTAATACTATTGGAAAGGTTCTTGGAACTACTGTGGATTGCAAATTGAATGAGGCAACTAAGTGAAGCAGTTGCAAAAGTCCTAATATCACTCCGGAGTGTCATATGTGAGACACAGAAGGTAACTGTCCAACTCTACTCAGCATTGGTTAAGTCTCAGCTAAAAATGAGTAAAGGTTAGGAAAGTGGACATGTTTGATCTTGAGAAAAGAAGTTGGAAGGGGGATCTGATAATATGTTAAGGGCTGTTGTCAAGATGACTGTGATCAATAGTTCTCCATTTCCATTGAAGATAGGAAAAGAAGTAAGGGACTGCAGAAAAGGAGATTTAAGGTAGATATTAAGAAAATCTTTCTAACGATATCTCTAGTTAAATTCTAGAAGAGGTTTCCTAGGGAAATTGTGGACTCCCCATCATTGGAGGTTTTAAAGAGCACATTAGAGAAACGTATAAGGAAGATGGTTTAGGTTCTCTTGGTCCTGCCTTGGCACAGGAGGCTTAACTTAATGGCTTCTCAATATCCCTTCCAGCCTCACCGTTCTATGATTCTAGGCAGACAATTAATTTGACAATTTTTTTTTAAAAAAGCGTCTTACGTATTTTCTTTAAAAGTAGTGTTTGCTTCTTTGCCACTGAGACTGGAGAGTTCAGCTCAAATTTGTACGATCTCAATTCAAAATGAAACAAAACAACAACCCACCCCACAACTCCCAAAACTATAATAGCTAATTTGTCCAGGAATTTCACAGGATTGAAGTTGAAGGGTATATGTAGAAAATGGAGTGGAAATAATAATCCCCATTCCAGAACTTCAGTGAAATTAATAGTTTTGTCTCTTTATTCCAGCACAGTGTTTAGGTTAGTGAAGTGTATCATATTCACAGCCACACTCCTATAACAAACACATTTTACTTTGTCAGCAGAGATTGTCTGTGTAGAATCTGGTAAGATTTTTATTACTTCCCTTATATTTTGGGATAAGAATAACACTTTAGAGGGGAAGACAGAGACATCTTAAAAGCAAGTTATACATCTTAGGAGAGGAAGGTATGAGACTGAATAATTTAAAATCAGAGGCAAATTCTCAGTTGGTGTAAATTGTAATAGCTTTTTTGAAGTCAAACTATGCCAGTTTACACCAGCTAAGCATCTGGTCCAGGATTTATTCTGGCATCATGAGGATTGTAAATGAGAGTTTTATTCCTTGGATTTCCAGAATCTGAGATGTCAAGTATTTTATTTCTGACACCTTTGATTTGATTATTAATAACCAATTATAATAAATACTATAAGTTTGAAGGCTATCTATGTAAACTTTGGCTACCCCAGGCTCTACCATGCGATAATTGTTTGTATACTTTCATCCATTCTCAGAATACAGAGATATGTTATACTAATTCTAGGAGACATAATTTCCTTCCCACTATTGTTTCATTCCCAGTTTTTAACATGAAGCTCACTTATAATAAAAGAAATAGACAATGATGAAAAGGGTAAATAAAAATAAAGTTGAAAATTTGACAGTGAACTACAGGGAAAAAATCTCTGAATTGTCTCAGATAAATTTATCGTGATTACCTGTAGATGGTGCTAAAGTGTCAAATAAGAAAACACAAAAGCTCATCAAGGACAAAGAGAAAAACATCAACTGGTTGGACACTGACCCTTCAGGGGAACATTATGTATCCAGCCAATCAGTTAGGGCCAACCAGGGTTCATTACAAAGGTTGTGCATGAAGTCAGCATTTCCTATTTCTTGACTAGATTGGTTTAATAAATTATTATCCCGGCTGATAGAATTATTGACATATTCTACAGATATTTATTTAGCTATCTGAGCCAAATATCTGTGTTTAGCAATAGAAAAGAGGAGTAAAATCAGGAGTGAGAACACCATTGTACATTGAAATGAAATGTACACAATTTCCTTGTTAAATCTTCAAAGTTAGAGAAAAGGAATTTCCAAAATAATGGACTTTTGAAAATTAACCAAGCAAATAAATGCGGCATTTCTTTATGGAATGTTATGTCAAATGCAGTGGCATGATCACCTCTTTTCAGGCTGGCGAAATATCTTAAAATTGATAGGGGTATATGCCTGAGACCTTCTAAGGCCTGAAGGCTACAGGAGTTTTGACAAAGTAAGGACTCCAGAATATGGACCATTGTTTTTGCTGCAGCTATTTTTAAAGGAAGGGATGTATACAAATGGAAAACAAAAAACAAAACACCTCAACTTTAGGAGTCTAGCCCATTTAAACAGTGAAATACAAAGGGAGAACTCTTACTTGAGCAGGCTGGATTTCCATTTTCAGGCCCATCATCTGTAAAAAAGCAAAGCATGAAATAAAACATATAGAAAGCATTAATATTAAACAAATAACATGAAAATAAATATGTAAATGTTGCCCATTATTGAGGGAAAGATGTGCAGACACAATGGGGCCCTGCTAATTTGTACTAACAGCGAGGGCTTAGTTCTGAGCACAACGAGGTAAAAGAAAAAACGTTGATATCAACTTAAAAAGTGCAGACCTAAAAAATATTGCAAATGACTGAATTGTGTGAATAAGCAAGTCAGGGTCTGATCCTCATCTCACTGAAATCAGTAGCAAAGTGCTCCTTAATATTACTGGTGTATGACCAGGCACCAAATGTAAAAAGCATAATGATAAAAAAGCATTATGATGGGGAAAGTAGTATAGTCAATAGATGACAGACTGCATCAGAGCATATACTGTCTTTACATCATTAAAAATTATAGTTAAGCTTTAAATTACGAAAATTGTGCATAATAGACTCATAACTGTACTGCATCACCATTTCCTTTTTAAAAATAATAATCGCTTTACTATTTGAGACCTCTGTACAGCTCTCTGCTGTTAAATCTTGATTAAGAAGCAGCGAGAAATCTCAATTTTTAAGTCTGATTTATAAAATGTGCACACTGGCAAAAAGTAGATAATTAAGAGTCAGCTGTGTGGATGACAGATATTTGATACTTGTTGAAAAATGTGTTTAATGTAATTAATATTTGGATTGCATAAAGCTATGCATTCAGGTAAGATTAGTTTCAATACAGAGACAATTATTTTAAGGACATGGGGCTTGACTCAAAGCTCACTGACTTGTTGGACTTCTCTGATCACACTCATATTGTTTTGTATTAGGAAAAAAAACCAATTTATTTCATGTAATGTAATAACAATAATAATACTAGTAACAATGTACAGGACCAAATACATCCTTAGTGCAACTTCAGTGAAGTTGATAAAGGGACATTGAGGATCAATATTATCATTGCCTATACATAGGACCAGATCCTGCTAAATGCCTATTTATTTCAATGATGAAGGATTGGACCTGCATATCTTTCCTCCTGAAGAATCCCGAAACATTTTACAAATTACAGTACCATCAAACAATTTAAACAGAATCTCCTAGGGCAGGAGGGTGTTAGCTTATAACTACACCACACCACATTCATTTTTTCCCAAATCACACAAGATTTATTTTTACTTACTTAATCAAAATTACTACAGTGCTACTGTCATCTTTTACCACACCACATTCATTTTTTCCCAAATGACACAAGATTTATTTTTACTTACCGGTACTTAATCAAAATTACTACAGAGCTACTGTCATCTTTCAATACAAATTGGCTATTTCACATACAGTGCCTCCTACCTAGTGCCATCATGCTTTATCACTCCTATCTCATCACACTTGTTTGCAGTAAAATATTTTAGCAATGACCACGCTAAATCTGCAGAATAGTCTGCAGGGGACTCCCATGACCACTGTAAAGCAGCTGGACAAAAATCAAGGATTGTGACACCATGTAAGTTGTAAAATACATTAAAAATAAACCAAAAAATGGTGAGATTTCCAACTTTTCCTTGTACAAATTCAATCTGGATCCTGCTATTAGGAAACAATATTGTCCTGAAAAGAAGCTAGATAACATCTTTCCCAACCTTTGCTTTTCCGATTCTGTGATCCACGTCCCATTAATATTTCCCCCCTTCCTGATATTTTAATAATTGAAGAGTCCCACATAAAGCTGCAAAAAAAGCCTTGGCGTGCAAGATGCTACTTACCAGTGAGGACATCATAGCTCAGCAGCAGCAGCAGCAGCAGCTGGAGCTGCAGAGGGCCCATGGTGAGCACTGGACCCTACTGCTGCTGTCCCCTCAGTTCTCTTTCTTTCTCCCTTCCCCTCCTCTGCCCACGTTTCTGGGGAGAATGAGCCTCCTGACTTGGACCTGGATTTATATAGTCTGTTGCAAGCAGCTAAGGCAAATGGTTTAGAAAGTTCAGAGCAAATTGCAAAAGGTCCAAAGGTTAGAGTCCTGGATCCTCTTTGCAATTCCTCAGAAGGCTCGGCCTGGGCTGCGGAGGCCCTAGATGCAGAGGAAGACTGAATATTAATCTGTGTGGTAAATGAGTGTGCCACTTCCATTGTGTTTTTCTTTCTTTAATAGAGCTTTAACTCTAGAGGATAATGTTCCAGCTAAAGGGGTTTCCTCCATTTAGCCACAACAAAAGTAAATCATGTAAATTACTGCTGGAAAAAATACTACTACGGAACTTTGAATTAGTGTGGCTGCTGAGAGAATTGAATGGTACTTATGCATGAGAGTAATTAGATTATTGTGCAATTTAGGCATCTTCTCTTTCATGTGGCCAGAAGAGGAAGAAGAATCAATGCTATGAGTGCCCATTGTAGGGCCAAAATTTGCTTCATCCCTTGCTGAAAAGAAGCAGCATTTCAGACAGGCTGGGGATATTCAGGGACAACAGGCCATACCAACTGTTGGGGTTAGAAAATTCAGTATTTTGCTTGGATTCAGTGATTCCAGATTTTTTAGAGGACATTTCCTTATTTGGTAACAGCAACAAAGAAATGAGAGGAAATAATAAGAAATTAGTGTTATTATTTAGAGAACGAAGTGAAGGAAATTCAGAGATGTGGAGTATTTGTGAACAGTTATGTATATATTAGGGCCTGGCTACATGAGGAAATTATTCTGAAATGACTAAATTCTAAATAACTCCTGAAATAACAAAATCAAAATAGAATATCCATACCACAGGGAAGCCTCAAAATTAGTCTGAGGAAACTTTCATTAACGTGGATGCACTCCCTGAACTTAGACCCCCGGGAAGCACTGGGGAGTAATTACTTTGAATGATTCTGAGGAGTAGTTATTTTGAAATAGCAGCAGCAGAGTATCCACACTACCACTACTTAGAAATAACTGTTTCGAAATAAGTGTTATTCCTTGTGGAAAGCAGGAGCTATTATTTCAAAATAACCACCCTGTTATTTCAAAATAATGGGCTTAGTAGTGTGGATGCTCTGCTTGTTATTTCAAAATAAGGGGAGTTATTTTGAAATAATTCCCTAGTGTAGACTAGGGCTCAAAGCTGATCAAACATCAAGAATTCCATCTTATAGGGAATTCCAATATTTGGGGGAAAAATCCCAAATCAACGTGAAAAGTTGAAATAGCATTTGTCCCCAAAAAATTCAGTCCAGTAACATCAAAATATTTCATTTTGACATTGCTGCCCTCAATGAAAAAGTTCACATTCCAAAATTAAAATATTTCTTTTCTGTTTTGTTGAACCAAATGAAAACATTTATTTTTATTTTGGATCAACAATAATCTGGGTTCCCCTAAATGATCATGGTGCCTCATAGGAGCTATCATTCAAGTACTTCATGACTCACTTCTTGTGGGGCGGGATGCCTTGCTAGATTAATCTCCCATGACGTATTCACATAACTCCCATGATGTGCAGTGTCAATTCAACCAGAAGTTGCATCATGGCAGATACAGTTCAGTCAAGTAGCCCAGGTCTTTCTTGACCTCCCTGGGGTTAGGATTTTATCACTTGTATGGACAAGCCACTTTGGTCAGATCAGATATCTCCATAAGAACAGACTTTCTTGTGAGAATTCCCTCTTCTTAATTGATATGGGTTGAAAACACTACAAGATGTGCATTTCTTTCATATTTCTCTATTTCTACTGCTGACCTTATCTAGTACCTGTCAGATCCTCCAAAATATTAGAGAAAAGCATTTTTGTTTTCCAAAAAGCCCATTGCAATCATTGGTGTCCATAAACACAGAACAGTCTCTTTAGTTTTTTCGTTTGAAAGGGATTCTATCTGAAAAGCAACTATGTAGTAGTGTCAAATTTTTACTTGTAATGTGTGTAAGGGGACTACATATTAATAACACATACTGATCTTTATTACTTTTTACACTGCTTAGCAATATAGATGAGCAGATCTCTGGAAGACTGAGAATTGGTTTCTTCTCTGGATTGCTGATGATTAACAGGATTGTTAATACATTCTAATTGCAATTGTATAACCTGATTGTCTTTAGTGAGGATCTCAGTTGTAAATCAGGGCAGATTGCTTATACAATGATTTGGGTTGGTATAAATGCGGGCCAGATTTGCTCTGCAGATTATGAATATCCCACTTCAATCCAAAAGCATGTGTGTGGCACACTTGGATTATTATTAATAAAATTATTAGTAGACTTATCATAGCACTTAGGACTCCTAGTAACTTCACTACAACTCCATTGTAACTTCACAACAACATATGCAATAAATGTTAATACTTTTATGCATTTTCTTTTTCCTGGGTATGTCACCAATGCCCACCATATCTCTGAGTAGTACATGTTGTGCTTGAATCTCTGATTTCATTGCAAGAAATAAAAAATAATATGGAATTAAACAACAGTGTTCACTACACACAAATGAAACTCAAGAGCACCAGTTATTTCAGTTATTGATACATATTGACCTTAGATTACAATTTGCCCTCTGGAACTGCATATTTTAAATAGTGTTTCATTTCTCTTTTCGGTCAAGACCTATTTCTTTCTGAGGTTCATATATCACATAAGGAGCAGAAATGCAATTCTGCTTATGTCAACATTTTTGAAGGCTATGATTGCATAAGAACAGTTGCCTCCTTTCTTTCTTTATCATTCTTTATTTCAGGAAGAAGGACGGGAGGTGCCTGATGACAATCAGTAGAAGGAAAAGAAAGTTCATATTTCAAACTCACTAAAGGGGAATTGATGGTGGTGGCACTGGCTTTGTAGGGGGAGGGTTTGAGAAGGTAACTCCAGCTGGGAGGAATCTCCATGCTCCTGCAGTATGACTGCATCTCCAAGCAGGGTATATGCGGAAGGAGGGAGCAATTAATGCCTGATGGCCCTAGGTTTGGTATGCCTGTCTTAATGCTAGATCCAGGGGAGAAGAGAGCCCTCACTAAGCCTTAAATTCTGCTTTAGTGCTGTCATGAGCTCTATAGCATTATATGCGGGCTATTTCAATTAATAGGTGTCTTCCCATTATCTGTAATGGATGCTGAGTCAGGCCTATCTGAGATGATTTTACTCTGCTTGCTGGCTGTTCTTCCCTAGAAGTGCTGTTCTTCTCTATGGCACATGTCTGGGGAAGGAAACCTAGTTGGGTCTTGGTGTTTGAGATGGGTAGGGGGACAGAGTGATGGCACAATACGTACTTGGAAGTAACAGTAAGATGATCCCTCATTATGTATACAAAATAGACACAATTTTAGTTTTAATAGTTTTTACACGAGCGGAAATAATGAAACTGTGTAGTACAGATATTTAAGAAGCATCTGACTCTGGATGGTTCCCTTCTTTTGCTCTTAGATGAGACATAAGAAAAGGGAAATATTCCCCAAAAGAAAGAAGAAAAGTTAGTAAGCAATGAAGCACAACTGTAAGGAGCTAGCATGGCTTATGGAGGAAGATGTACTGGTAAAGTCTATTACACAGAATGCTAGATCTTCAGTTGGCATATGTGTATGTCACTGGAGTTAGGGCAATTTATACCTGAGGATCCGACTGTTATACTTGTGGTAGACAGGTCTTAAGGCCCTCATCCTTTGCATCCTTTGAATGTTTTAAACTGTTTAAATGCATCAAAAAGCTGACTGGATAGACCCAGTGTCTTGTTTAGACTGAAGTTGGCTGGATAGTCCCCATTATCAGAGTACCATGCAGTCTTTAATGTATTTATCTTCACATTAGCCCTAAGGGCTAAAGAAGTGCTGTTGTCACAGATAGGGATCTGAAGCCCAGAGCTAAATGACTTGTCCAAGGTCATAAAGGAAGTCTGTAGCAAAGAGGGCTAAAGAAGTGCTGTTGTCACAGATGGGGATCTGAAGCCCAGAGCTAAATGATTTGTCCAAGGTCATAAAGGAAGTCTATAGCAAAGCATGGATTTGACTCCATGTCTTCCAAGATGTAGGCTAGAGACTTAGCCACTGGCCCATTCTCCCTCACCATCATGCTCACATAACATCTTCTCTAATAGCTTACATGGAACAGTAATTTCAGGAAAGGATTGAAAGTTTTAGATACTCTTTAATATAATGTAACTGTTAGAAACAAGGATGAGGAGCTAGCACCGTGTAATCAGCCAGAGAGTTTGGAAACATCTGCATTAAACATTTTTACATTCTTTGTTCACTTGTTGTTTTTTTACCTTAGATAAGGGGCAGAGGTTTTTTTGTTTGTTTTTGTTTTTTATTAAACTATTGATGAAATATATGGAAGAGAAGATGAAAAATGAATACCATCTTCATGGCATTACCAGAAATGATAATGATAGTGAATGAAACATCAAGAGAAAGAGAGCAGATGTCAATGTTAGGTGGAAACTGAAATTTAAACAAAATATAGAACAGGTCATAAATACCTGTAGCTTTTGTCATTGCTGGATGATGAACCTAAGATGCTTTGAGGAACCAGAGAGCAGGAAATTAAGATGAGTAGGTATGACATCAGTAACCTTTCACTTATAGGTTGCCATTTTAAAAGCAACCTTAGTGGGTAGTAGTCTGAATTCAATTCCTGGAGGACAGAGTTAACAGCATAAAAAACATTACTGCAACTAGTTCTACTTTACATTCCCACCACAAACCAGTGATCAAAGGGACATTCGTAGTGAACTGTCCTTTCACCTCCAATAGAGATTCCTAGCTAAACTGAAGACTTAGGCTCTGATTCAACAAGGTTGTTGACTTTAGGCATGTGAGTAATCTTACTGAAGTCACAGGGCCTGCTACTAAGCTTAAAGTTACTCGTGCTTACGGATTTTGCTAATTCAGTAATCCAGTTCCTTTCACCAAAATTACAATCATATGACTTTAAAAAAAATACTTAAGACAGATATCCTAGAAA